TTTTTTTTTTTTAGACAGAATCTTGCCCTGTCACCCAGGCTAGAGTGAAATTATGGGATCTTGGCTCACTGCAACCTCTGCCTCCTGGGTTCAAGCAATTTTCTTTCCTCAGCCTCCCAAGTATCTGAGATTACAGGCACCTGCCACCATGCCCGGCAAATTTTTGTATTTTTATCAGAGACGGGGTTTCACCATGTTGGCCAGACTGGTCTCTACTGAGACCAGCTCTGCCGCAGAGACCCCCGCCCAGGGAGTGCTGAAGGCATTCAGAAGCAAACACCCAAATAGAACAGCAAAGTGGGTCTATCCGAGGGGGGCACTAACAGCCTTCCAAGCTGAGAGCCTCAAGCACTGACAGCATTCTGGTCTGAGGGCCTCGAGCAGACTCTGACCCATGTATGTATTCTCTGAACAGGTGACGATTATTAACAAACAGCTGTTTGGTATTTTCTCATAACACAGAAATATACCAAGTAGGCAGCTGGTGCCCGCTTACCACTGATCACAGACAAAAGTATTCTCCACTAGGGAGCCATGAGGGCAGGGTCAGATGTTCTGAGCTTAAAGAATTGTTTTAACCGGTATATGATATCTATATATTGTCCTGCCACTTTAGAATGGCCCAAGTAGTTTCCTACTTGTAGGAGACCGGCTAGGTTTTCCTTGCCATCATTACTCATAGCAAACAATATATTCTATCATATACTCAGCGTTTCTCAGCAGGTCTCAAACTGACATCAAGTGATCCACCCACCTCAGCCTCCCAAAGCACTGGGATTACAGGTGTAAGTCACTGAGTTTGGCCTAATTTTTGTATTTTTAGTAGACATGGGTTTTTGCCATGTTGGCCAGGGTGGTCTTGAACTGCTGACCTCAAGTGATCCACCAGCCTCCGCCTCCTAAAATGCCGGGATTACAGGAATGAGCCCCTGTGCCTGGCCTATCAAGGACTTTCTTAAGTGAATGTTGCTTTTCCCCCTGCTTGCATGTGGGAGTGAAGAACATAGTGTAACTTGAAGTCTTTGCCTTGAGGTCTACTAATAGCCACCATGGCTTTTGCACCATCAGTGCAAATGTCAGCAGAGCGAACAAGGTAAATACCATCTCAGTAGCACTCAGACTAACCTCAGGCCTCTTGCAAGACACTGGGAAACTGCTGCCCTATGCATTTTTCTATTGGTGGTTCATCTTTTTCTTACTAATTTGAAAAGGTTTTCTTTCTTTTTTTTTTTTTTTACTTTAGATCAACCCTAACATTTCACATATGATCAAAATATTTTCATCTGTGGGAAGGGG